CCACTCAGCATCCGGGAAGTTATTCGCATGACTCTTCTGCAATTCTGGGCTAACACCAAGCACTTAGTCTAACAAACTGTTGTAATCTCGACTCCCCTGCACGCCCGTGAGAACTGATTATTCTACCGAATGGCCATTTGCAAACATGAAAGTTTCCATCAAATCCCGCTGAATGCGTGGCAGAACGTGGCATCAAATCCCGCCGAATGCGTGGCAGAATAAAGTTCACCTCCACGCAAATAGGCAGAGGCTAGGAAACATCATGACTCACCACTGACTTCAATGGGTCGGACACCTTTGCCAAATTCTAGACATCCGCCTACCCAAACAAACCTTCCTCTTAGAGCTCGTATCTGGCAAGAGACAACGTGGATCCACGTGGTGGATTCAAGGATCAGCTCAAAACACCTTACTGGAGATAGAAATCGACCCGGTCAATTGGGAGGCGTACAGAAAGTCCCTTGATAAAGTCCCTCAGTAGACATAACGCGTCGGCCAAGAATAGTTTCTACCTTTGTCTCTTATTAATCATATATATATATATATATATATATATATATATATATATATATATAGCTAATATTAGTGGTAAATGTTCACATACATATGCAAAATGTATATACATAGGTGCATACACATAAATGTATATTTTTTTGAATAAAATTTCAACAGGATAGAATCTAGAGTAGAACCCAATGTCCAGGACAGAGTAAGGATATAATAAAAAAGGCTTAAACACTAATATTCCATGGAATATTAGTGTTTAGGCCTTTTTATATATATATATATATATATATATATATATATATATATATATATATATATATATATATATATATATATTTTTTTTTGAAATATGATTCCATCATGACACAAGAAAATTACTGTTTTGAAACTGGTCATCTGTATTCAAGTTTAATTTAAATATTAAACCATAATTGTTTGGAGTCCAAACATCGCTTGAGGATGAAACTTTCATCCAACAGTTAAGGTTCAATAGTGAAAGTAAACTTGAATACGGATGACCAATTTTGAAACTAATTTCTGTGAAGCGATGGAATCATATGTTAAAAGAATAATTATGATTTAGGTTATTCATCTGTAACGAGCAAAAGCACTAAATAACTCTGATCATCATTCTAACAGTCCTTTCCTTTTATATCAATACACACACATACATAGATATATATATGTGTGTGTGTGCATTTGTGTGTGTGTATTTATTAGGGTATCTAATCTAGCCTGATGAATTTTACTGCGAGCTTCAACAGAAGTGGGGTTTTATTTCCACACTATAATAATAATAATAATATAATAAATATCTGTTAGGTTGTTTGGAAAATAATTTCCTATTTTAGAATTTTCCATTTTATTATGTCCGAATATTTTACAATAATAGTTGCCCAAATTTTATCATTCCTGATGATCCTCTTTGAAAAGTTTTATCATGCCTAAGGTTCCTCTTTGGAAATGTTATATCATTCCTAAGTGTTGTGGTACGATCCACCTAATTTACATAGTGGAGTACCGACCATATAAATATGGTTGGTACCGAGAAGACGGGGGACCGAAGAAGAGATCCAATCCAGAGACTCTGCCCGACTGCGATTAAGTCAACCCATTCTACAGGAATTGTCTTCCCAAGAATATACCAAACTATCTGTAAATATTGTGTACACGTTCTTGTGTCAATACATTTTGTTTAAGTACATTTTGTGCTGTATTATTATTATTCCATGCTTTATTCAAGTTCAACACTAAAGGTCCTCTTTGAAAAGTTTTATCATCGTTAAGGGTCCTCTTTGGAAATGTTTTATCATTCCTAAGGGTCCTCTTTGAAAATGTTATATCATTCCTAAGAGTCCTCTTTGAAAAGTTTTATCATTCCTAAGAGTCCTCTTTGAAAATCTTATATCATTCCTAATGGTCCAATTTGAAAATGTTGAATCATTCCTAAGGGTCCTCTTTGAAAATGTTATATCATTCCTAATGGTCCAGTTTGAAAATGTTATATCATTCCTAACGGTCCACTTTGAAAAGTTTTATCATACCTAAGGGTCCTCTTTGGAAATGTTATATCATTCCTAAGGGTCCTCTTTGAAAAGTTTTATCATTCCTAAGGGTCCTCTTTGGAAAGTTTTTATCATTCCTAAGGGTCCTCTTTGAAAATGTTATATCATTCCTAAGGGTCCTCTTTGGAAAGTTTTATCATTTCTAAGGGTCCTCTTTGAAAATGTTATATCGATTCCCTTGAGAATTCCGCTTAAAACATTATAAAACCCTCTCCTTGAATAGAAAAAGGAAGAGATGCGTTTACTTTTTTTACTTCAGTTCAAACACGAAAATCAACATCTGAAAACACTACTCGAACAAAACACACATGTAAATGTCAGAGAAACGTATCAGATTATGCATTTCCCCCTTTTCAACAATATCGGACAATTCTCAAGAAGTTTGGCAAGGTGAAGAAACACGATGGGTTCTACATGAATTCAGTGAAAGTCAAAGAGTTCGATGTTTTGAAGTGTTTTCGATGCTGAATCTGCGAAATTAGAATGGTTCAACTCTTGATCGAATCGCGACTTGAGAAACAGATCCTTTATGGCAATTGCAAACGATTGGCTCAATGACTTGATCATGACGAAGCGTCCAAACACTTTGCCAAATTTGGACCAACAGAAAATTATGGTGACTGTCTACTGGTCTACCATTGGCGTTATCAATTAGAACATTCTGGAGTCTAATCAGAGAATCCTTGCTGAAATTTACTGCTAACAACTGCATGAAACGCACATTCAAGTAAATAAAAAAGCAACCGAAGTTGGTTAATCGAAGAGACCTTATTCTGATTCTTGACAATTCTCGTCCACATGTTGACCGGATAACATTACAGAAGTTCACCGACTTGAGATAGGAGACTTTGTCCCATTCACAAAATTGCTCCGATCTCTTGCCCACCGACTAGCATTTTCTTAAGGTTGTTGTTAGTGCTTTTAAGCCAAAATACATTCCGTTGCAAAAAATATGTAGAAACTGCATACAAAGATTTCCTGGCATCGAAACCTTTAGAGCTTTATCGTTAAGGTACAAGGAAACTTGTAACTCTTCACCGGACATATAAAGATGTTCCCGGTTCCAATTTTGACTGATTTAAACACTGTTTAAATACATTAATTCGGTTGCAACGTTGATTCAAAAATCGGACATTATTTTCTGAATAACCTATTATGTATATAAAAAATGATGCACTTTTCTTTGTTCCCAGGAGGTTCTCTGCTTCCAGTCAAAACTCATCGCCCTACCAAGAAAACACAGGAAGAAATGTCATAATAAAAATAATGGCCGAATTGTTAATTGTCAAACTAATGAAATGAAGCGATATATTATTTTTTATGCCGATCGCAATTTTAAGTAATGGATTCATTTTGTTTCATTTTCATTTCCACTTGATTATTTGTGTTTCCGATCGAATCTCTTTTCTCAAATCTCTTTTTTCAAATCTCTTTTTCTCGACTTCTTATTTGCTATTTTGTTCTTTGACGTGAATGTTTATTGAACCGAATGCTCTAATCGCTTGTTAACGGCGAAACTTTTTTCAAATGAAAGAACTGGCGTAAATGAGACAGTTGTGCGAATTGGCATTACATGATCAAGAATTTGCTGCAGGGCTGAGAAGAAAATATCAAAATTGTAGACGGGAAATAAAGAGGACGAAAGAAGAGACACAAAATGGAGGATAATGGCAAATGAAATACTAAGAAAGAAAGAAAAAAGAAGATAAAGAAAGAAAAAAGTGAGAATAAGAATTTAAACCGAAATAACGAAAGACGGAATAAAAAGTGAACGAAAAAAGAAAGAAACGAAAAAGAGACGAAAGAAAAACAAACAATTAAGATTTTGAATAAATAAAGTGAGAAGAAGAATCTAAACTACAAGAATGAAATAAAGAATAAACTCTAAACAGAAAGAAAGAATGAAAGGAAATAGAAGGAAAGAAAGAAAGAGAAAAGTAACAAAGAAAGAGAAAAAGAAAGAAAAAGAAATTGTGGACAAAAATCTGCATGAAAAACAACGATTAAAAAATAATAATAAAAAAACGTGTCGAAAAGTGAAAAGTGTTCATCTTATTTTTAATCAGTACAGGAGTAAATATAGAAAAGTAATGGCTGGAGAATGGTTAGGCTAAAACGACAACAGATAAATAAATAAATTAATAATAAAATAAAAAGGAAATATATTATCTGAAAATCTATAATCCACGAATGAGTATTACTTCTAATGACCGGAGAATGTGTAGGCTAGCAACATAATAAATCTGTAAAAGGAAGGAAGGAAGGAAGGAAGGAAGGAAGGAAGGAAGGAAGGAAGGAAGGAAAAAGCAAATGGAAATGTCAAATTTAGGAAAAATTTCTCGGAACGAAAGCTGTAAATAGAATGGAAGTAATAAACTGTGTAGAGAGAGAAAAAAAAAAAGAATAAAGAAAAGAAAAAAAAAGAAAGAAAGAAAGAAAGAAAGAAAGAATGTGCCAACAGCGAAAAGTATGCAATGTGTTGAGAAATATGCAAAAAGAAAAAGAAAGAGAAAAGATGACTCAAAAAAAAAAAAAAAAAATAAACAAGTGAAAAACAAGAAATAGAGAGAAATACAAAGAAAGAAACAAGTAAGAAAGATGAAAGAAAAAAAGAACGGACCTGTGTGGAGTGAGAATATCGCAATGTGTATAATGTACAGCAAAGAAAGAAAGAAAGGAAATGAAGAAAGAAAAAAAACAAAGAAAGAATGAAGGAAAGAAAGAAGGAAATAGAAATTAAAATAAAAAATTGATCATGTAAAAATTGAGAAACAAGAGATAGAATGAAATACAACGAAAGAAAATTAGAAAGATAGAATGAATGAATCTGTAAGCAGAGAGAAAAATCGCACCACGTAGAAAGAAGGAAGAAAGAAAAAAATGAAAGAAAAAATGAACGAATGTGAGATTGAAAGAAAGAAAAATAATTTAAAATAAAAGAATATCATGTAAAAGGAGAGAAAAAAGAGAGAAAAGACGTTCTATGAAAAGGGAATTGCAAAGAAAGAAAGAACGAAAGAAAGAAAGAAAGAAAGAAAGAAAGAAAGAAAAAAGAAAGAAAAAAGAAAGAAAGAAAGAAAGAAAGAAGAAAGAAAGAAAAAGAAAGAAAGTAATCAGAAAGAAAGAAAATAAGTGAAGGAATAGGGTTAATTTAATAGAAAAAAAAGAAAGAAAGAACTAAAATTCAAGAGATAAAGAAAGAAAAACTGAAGTAAAAAGGGAGATTAAGAAAAAAATAAAAATAAAAATGGAATTATGGAAGACATGGAATTGGTTTAAGGAAGTAGTATGAGAAGAGAGACAGAAGAAAGAAAGAAAGAAAGAAAGAAAGAAAGAAAGAAAGAAAGAAAGAAAGATATTCTAGGTGGTAAGAATGGGGAGAAGCAAGGAATAGGAACGATTTGGGAAAGAAAGAAAGAAAGAAAGAAAGAAAGAAAGAAAGAAAGAAAAAAGAAAGAAAAAAGAAAGAAAGAAAGAGGACAATGCAGAAAGTGAGAAAGAATTACAAAGAATTAAAGACGAAAGAAAAAAGAGAGAAAGAAAGAGCAGCGAGAAAAACGCATTGCATTACAGAAGTACAAAGAATAAAGAAAGAAAAAAGAAAGGAAGAAAGAAAAAAGAAAGGAAGAAAGAAAAAAGAAAGGAAGAAAGAAAGAAAAAAGACACACTGTGTATAAAGAAGTGCAAAGAAAAATCGAAAAAGAAAGAAAGAAACAAAAAAGAAAGAAACAAACAAACGCAATGTGTATACAGAAGTACACAGAAATAAAGAAAGAAGAGAACGAACGAAAGAACAAAGGAACGGGAAGAATGAAAGAAAGAAATAATGAAAACTAGAGAGAATGAAAGAAAGATAGATAAGAGTAAAGAGAAAGAAAAAAGAAAGAAAAAGAAAGAAAGAAAGCAAAGCAAAAGAAGGGGAGATTACAACGAGCAATTTCCAAACTGAAAACATGCGTCTTTCTAAGAAGTTAGCTTGAATGTAATCGTGGGGTTGGACATTTGAGCTGATGTCGGAACGAAATATATTCTAATTTATTCCCCCTTTTGTCTTTATTTCTTTCTTTATTTTTCTTAATTAAGTTTTCAAAATGAATTGACTATGTGATCATATCAAATGCAGACTGCAATATTTGAATAACTTCGCCGCCGGCCATGAATCGTTTAAACGCATTAAAACAATAAACGCTGCCAACAGTTAGAAAATAAAACACACACAGAAAAAAATAAATTAAATAAATAAATGAAAATCACAAAAGGAAAATCCACAGAGATAAAAGCAAATTGGAAGACAATAACAAGAGTCCACACACGCAGACAAACACAAACACAGACACATACACACACACACACACACACACTGAAAATGGCGGTTGTGTGGAATAACAATAGACGTTTGTGTCATAAAAAAACCGAAATCTGGTAGGTTGGAAATGATGTACTGGGTGAGGTTTGAAATGAGTAAAAAAAATATGTATAAAAAAATTATGACATCAATCTCAGCAAATTAAAAAGAAAGAACTCGAATTAAATTCGTGGAGAGAAAAAAAAAACAACAAATAATTAATGGAAGTCAAGATCGAAAATAAACAAATTTAGAAAATCAAAATACAAAAAGTATATATTCTTAGGCACCAAAAAAAAAAAAAAATCCCTCACATGAATAACATCGAAAAAGGACAGATAAATAAAAAAAAAATCTATCAAATGAACTACAAATATGTAACAATAAAGGTTGTGGCTTTAATTCAATGATTAATTAATTTTGTGATTAATGAACTTTGTGATGTGATTAATTAACTTGCCGTTTAGAATAATGCATATGTGAAAGGAAACAAATAAAAATCGAGATTTCAACAGTGAGCTAAATGAATGAGGAAATGTATACTTCACTGTAAAATTTAAACAAATGGCTTCCTTTATATCATAGACTGCAATTGATTAGTCCAATTAGACTATCTTTTGTTAATTTATTTTTATTCTGGGGAAAAAAAAGAAGAAAATAGAATTGAATTAAAAGAATGCTTTTAATGCAAAGATTTGAATCAACTATTAGCCTTCGTGAATTCAGAATTAACCTGCCAATGAAAAATGGAACGAACAAGATCCACCCCCGACTAAAGAATGAAAACAAAAGAAACAAAGAAACGTTTTCAAATATAGTTCAATGAATGGAATATTGAGTTTATTTCCTCTGAGGTTTGAGTTAACGACGTAGGACTGGTTTAATGTAATCTGTTCTTATGCGAATCGTCCTGGGTATGACGATAAACTACATCCGGTAGTAAGATAGAGAGACTGGTGGTTTTGAGGGGCATTAAGAATCACATCTTAATTGGTATTATTTCCAGGTTCAACCTCACCTAGAGTGGTAGTATTTGTTAGAGTTTCAACTATGGGCAAATGATGACCCCCCACAAAAAAAAAAAAAAATTCAGTAGTACATTTTTATAATAAAATGAGCAATAATAGATTTTTATAGCAAAATGACAATCAATGTAACACTAAAAAAATATAAAAATACATTTTTACAGTAAATTACCAACAATATCTATAACGCACACATACACACACACTGAAAATGGCGGTTGTGTGGAATAACACTAGCCGTTTGTGTCATAAAAAAACGAAATCTGGTAGGTTGGAAGAGAAGAAGAAGAAGAAGAAGAAGAAGAAGAAAATTAAAAAATTAAACTTGGAGAAATTAAAGAAGTAATACTCATTCGTGGATTATAGATTTTCAGATAATACATTTTCTTTTCTTTTATTATTAATTTAATATATATCTACAAAAAAGCATAACTTTACCCTGAAATTATACAATTATGTACAAAATATTTAGATTTCAGCATTAAATAACCCACAGAGGTGTTGATATGCCGCTATACCATATCAAACAACCAAATCAATATTATGTAAATATTAAAAAATGGATGAGATTTTGAAATGCTGAACGATAGTATTACGTCTCCGATGCAGGAAAATATTTTTATAATGACCCTTTCTTTCTATAATTCTCTGTCTGTCTGTCTGTCTCCTTTTCTCTTTCTCTTTCTCTCTCTCTTTTTCTCTCTCTCTACGTCCTTTCAGCATCTGGCAACAAGGCTACTGATTGGAAAATTGAAGGTTTTGAGGAGCATGGAACCACTTCTTTATTTGCTCTTCTTGCCAGATCCACCCTAACCCGGGGCTAGTAAGCACCTGTTAGGCTACCAGCTATGAGCAAATAGTAAACTCACAAGCACAAAGAAGACTATAAAAGTATTAACAAAAATACATTTTTATAGTAAAAATACTAGCAATATATATATATATATATATATATATATATATATATATATATATAAACTTACCAACAATACCTATTTATAACAGAATTGCCACTAATACAATTTATCTGTAGTTGAAGCCATAAGATCGTGTTCAAAATATTTAGATGTCGGCATTAAATAATCCATAGTGTTTGATATGCCGCTAAACAAAATCAACCAGTCAACCAACGTCTCTTAAGGTCGTGAGCGAATGTGTTTTTCACAACTCCCTCTTTTCTTCTTCCCGGTCTTTTAAACAGGAATGGAGGTTGATGACTTGATTCATGTTTGGAACTGTGTTTTTCAGTTTCCTTTTAATTTCTACTTCAATTCTATACGTCAGTAGTCTATGCATAAACTCAGAAATTTTACTTTCTATTCATTTTTTTATTATCTTTTTCTCCCCAATAGGAGTAGATAGGTTCGCCTGTCGTCTGCTTCAATCCCCTACTCGGTTTTATGAACAGGTGTAGAAGTTTATCCCGTGTTTCCTGTTTAAGATTGGAATTCCGATTCCTTCTAAAATTTTCTCATTCTCTTTCACTCCTAGTAGCCCCTTTTGTCTTAGTGGCATTATCAACTTGTTTGGGGTGAATTGATTAAAAAAAGAGAAAAAAAATGGTCTTTTTCAACCCCTCACTGTCGTTTTTGTACTGTTCATTCGGCCATCTTCTTCTTCTTCTTCTTCTTCTTCTTCTTCTTCTTCTTCTTCTTCTTCTTCTTCTTCTTCTTCATTTATTTCTCTTCTTATATCATCCAATGAATTAAATTTTTTATCATTGAGAGTATTTTACAAGGACCTGAATAAATGAAAATACAAAGGCGCAATGTCTGGTGAGGTAGTACATCCCAGCCAAGCTGCAACAATTTTTTGTCGGGTCGCTAAAGAAACGTGAGGTCTGGCACTATACTTTTCGTATTCGCCAATTCTGTCTTTTTCTCTTAAATTACTGCTTTTAATTCGTCCACTTAGAAACAGTACTTTTCAGAATCAATTGACTGGTTACTTGGCAGAAGCTCATAGTAAAAGATTCCTTTTAAATCCCACTCGATGCACAACAGGATTTTCTTAGGATGAAAACCTACTTTTGAGGTGGCTAAAGTTGGCTCATGTCGCTTACACCAGGAACTTTTTCGCTGAATGTTATTGTAAACGATACATTTCTCATCACCTGTCACAATTTGCTTCAAATTGTGCAATTTCATTGCGTTTATACAGCAAATCACAGATGAAATGCGATCCGAAAAATTATTTTCAGTCAGATCATGTGGTACCCAAACATCGCAGCGATTTGAGTACCTAAGCTTCAGTAAGTGCTCATGGATGATGAATTCTGATAAATGTAGTGTTTCTACCAATTCCCACATTGTGTAATGCAGGTTATTCTCAATCAAGGTCTTGACTTGGTCGTCATATGTAGTTAGGGCTCCGCCTGACAGTAATAATCTTATAATTCTTATAATCACTAAATGACTTCCGTACAGTTCTGTCAGATAAAACACTTTCACTGTACACTGCACATAACTTTTTTGTTACTTGCTAGGCATTTTCCTTTACGGTAAAAAAGGATCATGTGTCTAAGATGCACATTATAATCTTCCATTTTCATAGGGATGCAAACTTGACAGAAATAAAGTAATTTTAAACTTTCTTTCTGAAGAGATAGTTTGAAGTGTGTTCTAATCGGAAATGTAGTCATATAATATCTATCGATAAATTTGACGCGTTCTAAAGTGTTGGAACAAGAACGATTACAAATCGGCATGAACTTTCCATACAAATCAATAACTGTTAATTTTTAGCAACATTTATGCTGTAGTTCGTATACTTCTTAATGCTTCCTCCTTTGCTGAATGCACCGTCCATGGTATTCACAGCATTCGTCGATAGAACAACCACCACGGATAATCTTTTCTCTCCGCCATCAGCATGGCTAACGCTAGATTCCCAGAAAGCAAAACACTACGCATTCTTGGTTTTATGTTTTCCAATGCAAGGAATGTTCGATCACTGCGTCGTGATAGAATTTTCCTAGTCAGAATCCATCTTGATCATTTAAAAATCTACTATTCGTCCGTGCACTGAATACTGCCGTCATATTTGGTCTGGTACATTTGCTGTACATCTCGAGATTTTTAAAACTAAATCTTAAGAAGAATCTGTTATGCAATCGATCATGACCGGTCATTTCCATATCAGTCACTTTCTCACCAACATAACGTGCCTTCCTTCCGTTCTTTCTACAAATATTTTCAAGGAAACTGCTCTGGGGAGCATTTTTTTTTCTTGGTACCCCGACGACACGAATGTAAATGCACTACGAGATTGGCATCGAGTTCTCACCATTTTACTGTTGAAATAGTTAAATACAACCGACACTTCTGCTCAAAATTATTTCGTTTCTCGCACTTCGTACCTGTGGATCTATCTTACGTTTCTTTGCTTCCCTAATAACTATAATCTTCAAAAATGTAAATACAACGTCAATCGTCATCTTCTGTCTTTCTGAACCCTGTTCCTTTTTTGTTCTTTGCTCAGTCCTCTCTATTCTCAGTTTTCTCTTTCTCTTTCATTCCCTGGAAACCCCTGCGTATTAGTGGCAGTATCGCCTTGCATGGGGTGAAATGATTAAAATGAACCGCA